TTATATATAAATTACTTAAAGCGGCGGTAATCTGCGATATCCCCCAGATAGATGATGCCTGCTTGAATCTCATATATCTGATGACACTAATTGAAATTTCATTTTCTGATGCTATCTTGCATCCATAATCAATTAAATGAGTATAGACCCCAATTAAATTTTGACATCCAATATATGGGTGTATATCATTTTAAAGCTGTTTGTAATCGTCAATTAAAGGTACACCACCAATAAGGTGGAAAAATACAATACAGTGAAATACTTAATAAAAAAAAATCTTCAAATTTATCTTCCTATTGTCATGGTTTGGCACTTCTAAACTTCATATTGTCATGGGTTTATACTTGTTGTCATGGTTTTATACCATTTAACTTCTCAATTGTCATAGTGTTAAACTTCAAACTTCTTTTTGAAATGTATTTAACTTTTAAACATCTTTTTGCCATAGTTTTACACTTCTAAACTTCTTATTATCATGGTTTTACATTTCTAAATTTCTCATTGTCATGGTTTTATACTCTCATTGTCATGGTTTTATACTTGTTATGAATTTTACCTCTATACTTCTTATACATACAATGTAACTATCACAGTTTTTAAGCTCTTAACTCCTTATTACCATGGTTAACACATTTAGACATCTGTAACCCTTAATTACCATGCTAAATGATATTAGATGGATCTTTCAAGGTTGAATATAAGCCATTCATAAATTTTAGAGAATATTTCAAAACCTAGCGAAGAATGCAGACCATATGCTTAATCATCTTGGTCTACTAAATGTTCCACAGGTAAGTTCAGTTGCCACCAAAAGTCTAAAAGTTAACACTGTTAAACATAGGTAAGGCACAGAACTGTTACACATACAAGTAAAGTACAGAATGATATGTGGTCCAATGGTAACATGCCGGTCTAAATAATTCAGGATTTGAACCTCGCTGATAACAATACAAGGGTTTGATGTAATACTGCTGTACATGTGGCGTTAATGAACCTGGGACATCCCTGAAATGGGGCAACTGCTGTATCCATGCACTCTTTCTGAAACAAGAGCTGTTGATAGGACATGCAGCATGCTGGATTATTCTCTGTTCTTGATAGTGAAACATTAGAATCTGGATAATGTAGAATTTTCTTAAGTTTCATAAAGGACCAAAATTCTGTCAAAATTCATATCAGAGTTATGGAACTTTGGTGACTTATGTGGCTCTAAAATAGTAGTCTGTGAAGTTTCATTATAGTAGTTTTGGAGATAACATTCCATGCAAATACAGGTTGAGTACAAAAGCTCTCCCTAATGTCCCTTATTAATTCTTTGGATAGTTAATCTAAAAGTCAAACAGCTTTAGTATTATAATTGACTCTACATGCAGCATCACAGATATGAGGAATGAAAAGGTGTAATTAATGAACCAACAAAAAAAATCCCCCCAAAAAACAGAACAAATAGTTTACCTTCTTTTATCATGTGTTCACACCTTTAAACATTGTGTTAAGTCATGGGTTCACACCCATAAACATATTACTAGAGGAATGGACCTTTAAAAATGCTTTTTTATTATAATGTTTTACAGAATGCAACCTCATTTAGCCATTGGTTTCAACACATTTTAGTCATAGTAGGAAACAAGTGAATAAAATAACACTTAAAAATCCTTTAGTAAGATTTTTTAGTCATGGATACACTGTTTAGTCATCATGGCAGTCAAGACTTAAATAATTCTTTTAGTCATAAAGTTACAGTGTATTGTTAAACCATCTTTTGAACTCAAAGTTTACACTTTTAGACAATCCAGTGGGTGGATTATGGAACGCCGTGACTATCTTATGTTATCAATGTTTTTGCTATCTTGTGAAACGATGATATTATTTTGTCATTTAAGCATATTATCATGTGCAATAAAATTATTTCTTGTCTAAAGACAATGCTGACTTGTTCAAACAGCATGTTAACTTGTCAAATAATCATTATGACATGTGCAGACAACATGTTAACTTGTCAAAGTATCATGATGACTTGTGCAAACGACATGTTAACTTGTCAAGATTTCATGATGACAGCAAACAGCATGTTAACTTGTCGAATTATTGTGATGACATGCTCATAATACCTTAACAAGTTAACATGTGTTTTGCACAAGTCATCACGATTTTTTGACAAATTAACATGTTGTCTGCACAAGTCATCATGATACATTGACAAGTTAACATGGCATTTGCACAAGTCATCATGATACATTGACAAGTTAACATGCTGTTCGCACATGTCATCATGAAATGTTGACAAGTTAACATGTCATTTTCACAATTAAGTCACCATGATACTTGGACAAGATAGCATGTTGTTTGCACATGTTATCACGATGATCTGACAGGTTAACATACTGGCTGCACATGTCATCATGAAATTTTGACAAGTTAGTATAGCATTTGCACAAGTCATAATTATACTTGGACAAGTTAACATGTCGTTTGCACAAGATATCATGATACTTGGACAAGTTAACATGCTGTATGCACATGTCATAACGATAATTCGACAAGTTAACATGCTGTTTACACATGTCATCATGGAATTTTTACATGTTAGCATGGTATTTGCACAAGTCATCATGATACTTTGACAAGTTCACATGTTGTCTTCACAAGTCATCATGGTTATTTGACATGTTAACATGCTGTTTGCACAAGTCGTCATGATACTTTGACAAGTTAACATGCTGTTTGCACAAGTCATCACGATAATTCGACAAGTTAACATGTCGTTTTCACAAGTCATCATTAAACTTTGACAAGTTAACATGGCATTTGCACAAGTCATCATGACACTTTGACAAGTTAACATGCTGTTTGCACATATCATCATAATAATTCGACAAGTTAACATGTCGTTTGCACAAGTCATCATGATGCTTTGACAAGTTAACATGCTGTTTGCACATATCATCATAATAATTCGACAAGTTAACATGTCGTTTGCACAAGTTATCATAATACTTTGACAAGTTAACATGTTGTTTGCACAAGTCATCACGATACTTTGACAAGTTAGCATGTTGTCTGCACATGTCATCATAATAATTTGACAAGTTAACATGCTGTTTGTACAAGTCAGCATGTTCCTTTGACAAGACGTGATGCAATTTGCACATGTATGTTAACATGCTCAAACGACAAAATAATATTATCGTTTCACAAGATAGCAAAAACATTAATAACATAAGACAGTCACGGCGTTCCATAGTGGATCATCACAAACTTGGTATATTATATATTAGGCATGTCATGACAAAACCAACATAGTACATTTGTGACCAGCATGGATCCAGACCAGTCTGCGCTTCTGCATGGATCCATGCTTTTCGCTATCAGTTTCTCTACTTGTAATAGGGTTGGTAAGCGAACAGCATGGATCCTGATCAGATTGCGTGGATGCGCAGGCTGGTCTGGATCCATGCTGGTCGCAAACCCATTATGTTGCTTTTGTCATGGCACGGCTCATATAAGGTAGGTTAATTGATTCAGATTGACCAAACAATTAATTTTAGATCCATAATTCCATTCCCTTTGATTTCAGTGTCATCCTTATGATATTATATTATCATATTTAGATGAAAAGGTATATAGTATTGTATAGAATTGTGTGTGATTCTAATATTACCTTGGTTCGTTTCAATGTTAATTAATGGTTTTATACCATCTTCTCTTTTGTGCTGTGTCACTTCAGACAAAGCTCAAGGTTTGAATTTAAGACGTTTGATGAAAATAAGAAGCCTGTAGGTTAAAGTGTTAGTGACACAAAGATGGTGTAACTAACATTAAGATTTATTTCTGAAATTTTCATGGTAACAAGATCCAACAGGTTTTAATTACCTGACACATAGTGGAATTATGGATAAAAATATAAACACTTGAAAGACAAACTTATTGTCATTAAAATCCTTTTCAAATTACTTAAATGGACAAGATTTCCTTTATACAAATTTAGCTTGAAGGATTTAATTTAACTGGTTATTAAACAACATATAATATGTTATAATATATCAACTTAATTTTGTCTTTTACCATAAATATTATATCTAAAGGTCCATTATGAATGCCATGCAAGAAATGGTTTTATGTTTATTTCCCGAAAACTTCTTTTTTGGTGTCCTGTTAAAGTTTTTAACCTGTTATATAGTTTCTAAAAAGTTGCTCATTAGATGATCATTAGGTGATCTTCTTTTAAAGTTGTTCAAAACAATTTATTGCATGCAGAACTCTGGTTGCCATGGCAACGGAAAGAAAAATCTTTAAAAATCATCTCTTCTGACACATGAAACATCATGTAGTGGACCTCTTCAAATACCAGCCCTGGGGTCAAAATTTATGTAGACCATATTCCCTGGTGAGCGATTGAGGACCATGAAGGTCCTCTTGTTGTGCGAATTACAAGTACAGAGTCAGTTGTACTTATTAAGTATTTTGTATGGAAGTTAGATTAATACTTTACATTTTTAATACTTTTAATATGACAATATTTTTTTCCATTCATTATTTTCCTCATGTTATGTCATGTTGCCTTTTTTAAGATGGGAAAATCTATTTGTTTCTTTAGGAAAATGTACCTTAAATCTTGATTATGTCTTGTAAAACCTCAAATAGTGAATAGCATCAGTGTTGGCATAGTGATTATAAACAATTATTTTATTATCTAATGGGGGCCAAGTGAAATCACCTAGATGAAGACAAATGTAACTTTTATTATTTATTTTTTTAAGACTCAAATGGTAAAATGAGCATTAGTGGGGGGGGGAGTTATAACTTTTCTTGCTTCTTATTAAAGCTCAAATGGTGAAGAGAGCATCAGTTAGGGCGGAGTTATAACTTTTCTTTTTTTCTTTTTAAAGCTCACATTGTGAAGAGAGCATCAGTGGTGGCGGAGTTATCATTTTTCTTTCTTTTTATTAAGGCTAGCATCAGTGGGGGCAGAGTTATAAATATTCTTTCTTCTTTTTAAGGCTCAAATGGTAAAGAGAGCATCAGTGGGGGCGGAGCTTCACCACCTAGATGAAGACAAATGTATAACCACAGATCCAGGAGAAAACAGTAAAAGACGTACTCTGAAACTTATAAAGAAACAAAACTCTTGGGGATTCACGTTACAGGTACAAAATGTTATGATATAAAACTGATACTGTACTCTTCTTTTCAAAAATTCTTTCTGCATTCAATTCCTTTAATTCATATCTTAAAATTTTGTTTCAGCATATTTAGTTAAGCTTGTGTTTCAAGCTTGAAGAGTATTGGAACCATCTTTGAACTCACTTCCTGGAAAGAGCCAGAACTGTTATTGCCAAATGAGTAACCTCGGTATTGGGATCAGACCAACGATTCATTTTTTTGAGAGGCAGACACTTTAAACACTTTAAACACAAGGTCACTACTGGTTTATACAGTAAACTAGCATTTTTGGAATGAAAATTTGTCAACCCTTGCAAATGGAGAAATTTAGCCATATGTAATTGGAACCATACCAATTAATAGTTTTCACATAATTTTATGAGTTTAAGACTTGTATATACTGGCAATTTAATCAGATTATTTTCAAATAATTTGTTAAAAAAAATCAGTTTTAGTAATATTTTCTTCTATTCTTTGTAGTTGCAAAGTCTTTAAAGGCACTGTTTTTATGTCCTTTTCAGGATCATCATTACAGTCATACAAATATGTTGAATTATCTCCCTTTATTGATTGTCATGCTTTTATATTTTTATTACTTCCCTTTAAGGATAAAGACATATATTTCATATTTTATTACCTCCCTTTACAGATTTTGTTAATGACATTAAGACAAAACTTTTAAAAAATAAGTTATCTTTAGATCTGATTTGGACAAAATTGTTTTTTATAGATTGTAAAAGAAAAGTATTTAATTAAGAATTTATTGTTTCAGACATATGGAATTAAACACAAAAAGACAAATGATATAGAGATTATGACATATGTAGATTATGTAGAGTTTGATGGAGCGGCCTGGATTGCTGGTATGAGACGAGGTAAGAGAATGGTAAAATAAATTCAATATTGACCTTTATGGTAAAATATGAGTTAGTTAATATTATATACTGAGGTCTGAGATACTTAAGAGACATTTAAGATAAGATATTGACTTTGAAGGTAATATATTGACCTGTGATGTATCATATTGACCTTTAAAGTTCCTGTATGTTTTGATCAAGGTGGTTAACCACACTTAGTGAAATTATATACATGTATGTGTACATAATATTGCAAAATAAAACAATTTTCAAACATTGAAGAATATGTAAAATATGTACTGCAAATATTTTTGTATATGTATATGTTATCATTAAAATATGTGCATTCATTTCTCATTGTAAAATTTGACTTAAACTTTATAGAAAATAAATATTTTATTACCTCCCTTATTAACATGAAATGTTAAATTTGGTGATATCTTTGTAAATAATGCTTTTTGGAACCTACAATATTGATAAATCTTAATTTGAGCATCATATTTATGATTTAAAACCATAAAAAAGTTGTGTTACAGGATCTTTAATGTACCATTTTGACCTGTTAGGTATCATATTGACCTGTGAGGTATCATATTGACCTAGCTGTGAAGTATTATATTGACCTGTGAGGTATCATATTGAGCTTTGAGGTATCATATTGACCTGTGAGGTAATATGTTGACCTATGAGATACCATATTGACCTGTCAGCTGCAAGATAATAAATTGGCCTATGAGATGATATATGATATACTTACCTATGAGGTAAAAACATTGAATTGTTAGATAATATACTGATCTTCGAGGAAACATAATTTATGAAACTGTAAGGTATGATTATATTAGGATATATATATTTACCTGTGAGTGTGAGATGATATGTGTCATGAGGTAACGCATTGACACAATGTGATCATATAGTGACCTGAGAGGAGATTATTTACATGTGAGATATGATATTGACTAATGTGGGCTAATATATTGACCTCATCACCTGTAATGAAATATATTGACCTGTGAGATAGACCTATACTACTTAATTTTGAGATAATAAATGTACCTATGAGGTAGCAGGCTGAGAGATTGCATCATAAGCTGAGAGAATTAATTTACTGATATAAGTGTTGACAACAAATATTGACAAGTTTGGTAAGGTAAGAACCTATGAGGTCAGACTTTGACCCATGAGGTGAGATATGAACTTGTGAGGAAATATTGTACCTTAAGTTTGAGGTAACAGCTTATATATTGGATATCATTATGGTGATAAAACTAGGATATTTTGCATAATTTGCATTATAAATGCAAAATTTTATTACATACAAATGTACATTGTGAATATATACATGTACATAGATTGTGATTTAACTTTAAGGTTCACTTTAAAAAAAATACTATTCTTGGCACAGCCCACTTAAAATAGAAATCATAGATAGAAAAAAAAATTGCAGTTTTATTATTGATAACAGATACTGTCATAACAAAATATTGTTTATTATTGTATGCCTAAAGTTACTAAGTGTTAGTAAAGATTTTTTGCCTGTTACATCCTTGTACGTAGTACATGTAAACCCTCATTATTACTTTAGCTGAGATGATGTATAGTTGTACCATGAAGTTAACCTACGTCAAACATGATCGTAAATAATGAAAAACAATAACCACTATTAATTAATTATTTTCTTATTTCCTAAACAAAAGTGATGTAAATCGGTATATAGAGATTATTATTAAGATAAGAGTTGAATATTCTTAAGGGAAAAAAAGAACAGGAATAAAAGATTTTTGTTATAAGTTGTAGATGTATGATTGTCAAAATGTAGCATTTGACTGTGGTAACTTCCCCTGATTGACCATCTCCTACGCTGTGGTCACCCTTTGCTTATATATCCCATCAGATGAAGGAAAGTTTCCTAATTGACCCCTCCCCATAAACTGTCAGTCATGTGGCACTATTACAAAAATCAATGATGAAATGAATTATGAATATGATTGAATTATGAATGAAGAACTTGACACTTAAGGAGATGGCACTTTCATTTCTCACATCATTCTGGAAGTTAATCATGAAGTTTATGGCATCATACATGATGACACTGATCACAAAATATATCCAGATCTGTGCAAGATGGATCTGATATAATTAAAGTTTTACTCCAAGTGGGTTTATTTTCAAGAAACAATTTATCAAATGTAAAACAAATTAATTTGTAATAAATTTTTAAGAAAATTTTATTGTACTATAAAGCGATTTGAATATAAAATAGTGAATACAAATTCTTAAAAGGGTAAAAAATGCAGACTACTCGTTTTCGTCTCGAAGTTTCCAAATCAATGAGATATGTAATGTGAGGTCTGGCAACTTATGTCATACTGCCTTGTGATATGGTAAGCATAACCAGTTCTTATAATACTTAAAGTTCTAATAAAGGTTGAATAAGTGATATTTTTTCTATGATTTCAGGGGACGTAATTTTGTCTGTAAATGGAGAAAAAGTAGGGGAGATTACTCATCAACAATTAGTGAACAAAATCCGACAGGCTGGAGATACATTAAGGTGAATATTATTTTACTTCATATTCTAGAACTTTAAGGATTTGTTGGTTTTTATTATATTCATACAAGGCTATGAAACAGTTTCCTTAAAGGGACTTCACTGATCGAGTTTTTTTGACATGATGACACTGCAAAAAATGTTTTTTTGAGATAAAATTCATTCCATTTGATGTAGGTCTAGACCTATAACTTGTGTTTCAGGTCATTCACTAACTCTGTTATCCCAGAATAATTATTCTTAATGTGAAAAATGACCTAAAATTGAAAAGCCATGCTATGATTTCCACCTAAATAAGGCTAAAAATAGAACAAAAAAGTGCTTTTCAATGTAATTTTCTTGAAGCATCTTTTGCATATCTTTCTGTTTTAAGTGCCCAGCTGAGCAGATGTAAGAATTTAAAATTTAATATTTTTACGCTTTTGGACCTCAGCAGCATTTCTTTAAATTTAATTCACATTTCTAGTCTGTTTCCTGTATTAACTATCTTAGAACCACCAAACTTCCATAATATAGCTAGATAGCTTCCTCAAAGGAAAGAACCAATTTGAAAGGTCCTTGGCCTGGATTTGAACCAAAAGTGATTTGAAGTGAGTGGTTTGAAGTGAGTGACCACAATCAGTCAGGCCTCTAACTTCCAGAACTGGTGCCTTAATAGGAAAGATGGTCATAATTCCAGTAAAGCTCATTTACTTCTTTAAGAGAGGCTATAATGGTCTGGTGCCCCAAAATTTCTACCAGTTTTTGAGTCTTGAGCAGTTTTTTTCCATACTAAAACATACGAGATGGCATTTGTTTGCTAAATATTTTTTAAAGATTATGAAACAAGATCTTTTGAGCCTAGTAAGGCTATCACCACTTCCCCAAACATAATGATGGGCCTGGCTCAAGTGGCCAAATTTATGAAATCATTAAGTAACATAATATACCCCCTCCCCTCCCTCCCCATCTCCCCCACATTGATAAAGTTTCACTTCAAAATCCACGAAAAGTTTGTTCCTTAAATTGATCGGAATTAAGTGTTAAAGTTAATGGTAGTTTTTGGTTTTGATACCATTTCATTTTAAAGTCTCTTTATTTGTTTTAGTGTATATTATGTATATTGGCAGGTGGGTTTGTTTACAGTTTTTATTAAAGCCCCATTTTATAAGATTCACCTACTTTGGCAAAGAGCCATGAGCAGCATTTTAACTCTAACTTCTTTGGTGCATTAATTAAAATAACACCATGATTTGTTAAGCCTATTTTCAAATAATCACATTTTACCGCAAAGACTAATAAAACAGGTAGATGAATATTTTATTAAGTTGAAATCAAAATCTAACATGTTAGAGTTGATCTATAGAGGCTATAGCCCTGCTTTAAGTAGTTACTTAACCCATGTTTGTTTTCCTATACAGAAAAGTTTATATTTATATGGTAATATATAAATTCTCTTAAGAGTGCACTTCAGGAATGTCTTAAAAGTTATAATGCAAACAATATGTACACATTGCAAATAAAAACCACACAATTTAAAGACCACTTGAACAGGGCACCATTTTGTCTATTCTACAAAACTTTTTGCCCCCGTTTTTTCCGGCTCTTGTGTTATTGTCTTTGGCTTTTGTGACGTTATTATGTCGACCTTGACAACAACAGGGAATGACGCAACCAATTTAATACAATATTTCATTTACCCTTGATCTAAGCAACAAAAATTAATGATTTGTCTATGGAAACAGGAAAAATGCATCGCAGTGCAGCTAGCCATATTGGTACCGTTGCGAAATCTGATTTAATTCCTGTCAATAATCTATTAAAAGCTTCTTTAGCGTAGATAATGATCCATGCATGAGCAAAATGGGTACTGTTCCAGTAGGTTTTGCAAAGAGGGTACCAATATGAATTAGGTTACCACATAGTGCCAGGCAAGCTTGCAGTTATTCATACAGTCAGTAAAATATTTATAAGTTGGGGGCTGTGACTGAGTGGGTATCAGACTAGTGATCCAAGGATCCGTAGCCGTGTGGGTTCAAGGCCTTGTCAAGGGCAAGCCCTTGCTTCCTTGAGAGAGAAAACTTTATGTTCACTGCTGAGTACTGGAATGGGTTTATAAGCTTACAGCTTCTGACACAGTCAAACTAATATAAATTCTGTATAAACTAAAAGTTTGGTAAAACTGCTATGAAGTCTTTGGTCCTGAGCCTGCATATAATTATTGCTCAGAGCTGAGCCCAAATAAGTTCAAACATCATCGTAGTTTAGAATCCTTCATACCTTAAAGAATATAACATAAGAGCCGCGTCAGGACAAAACAAACTTAGTGTGTTTTCGACCAGCATGGATCCAGACCAGCCTGCACATCCGCGCATCTGATCAGGATCCATGCTGTTCGCTTACAAACCCTATTACAAGTACAGGAACCGATAGCAAACAGCATGGATCCTGATCAGACTGCGCGGATGCGCAGGCTGGTCTGGATCCATGCTGGTCGCAAACGCATAATGTTGATTTTGTCATGGTGCAGCTCATATATTACCAATTTATTTTGGATTTACTTCTGAGGTATATTGTCATCATATAGTTATTAAAACATATGGCTATCTCAGCTCGGACAATTAAGAAAGATAATTGGTAATACAATATGGCTTATTACAAAGTATATGGTAATGTGGGCTTATTAAAGAATATATGGTAATATGGGCTTATTTGTTACAGAGTATTATGGTAATAAAAAACACAAACAAACAAAAAACGGTAACAGCATATTATAATTTAGGCTTACTCAGCTGAAAAGATGTATGATTGTGGTTATTTGATAGGGGAAAATGTTTGTACTTTTAAGCTGTATATAAGGAAATGTCTGTTTATAATGTTTAATACAGATGTTGTCCAATTAGGATCCGATGATATTCATGTTTTACTTGTCCACAATAAACCACATACACCGTGATTATTTTATGTTGGTGGTTATTAACCCTAGTATACCACTAAATTTGTAAAACGGTATGTACTATGATGAATTGCAAGTTTTAGAGGTTTGTTTAACTTTGAAATAGTAAAAATTGTGCAGAAAACTTATGTCTGGTAAAAAAAGACCATGTGCAATTTTACTGGCCCAATTCATGCAAATTTTCATGTAAATTTCAATTAAGGTTATGAAGATTTTTGACAGGTTATATGGTTCTAATATAAATGGTTGTTTGTATATATAACCTGAGCCATTAGGCTTGGATTATGTTGCAAACAGCTGTTTATATATGGTCATATAACCTGTCAAGGGTCTTGGTAGCAAATTTATAATAATTCAAACATTCCTCATTACAGAAAAAAATGAATTATTTCAAAGCCTGTGTATATAAATTATGTAAGTGTTACAAACGTGCAATATTATATAATACATTGTACAAATTTATATTGAAAACAAGAATACATGTATTTGCATCTCTAAACACAGGGATTCAACAACTTCTGAGTTGCTTTCTGAAATTGTTCATTAAAATCTGATGTCAAAACCTGGTCATAACTGTACTAAGGATCAAACCAAAGATGCCTGGGTTAGATAAGACACCAGTTAACCTCATGCCCACTGCTTCCCATGAGTTGACCGCTTTGGGTTTGAATCTCTACTGGGACTTTGGATTTTTTTATGTGAGGAAGCTATCCAGCTAGCTAAAAATACCGAACATTAGTGGTTCTACTCAGGTGTCCGTTCCTGCCTGAAATAATGCACAGTAGGGCACTGGAGGTCTTCTCCCACCAGCAAAGCTGGAATATCGCCATATGATTTATACTGTGTTGGTGTGACATATAACCCAATTAAATTAAAACAAACAAAACTAATTCCCATGAGTTTAAGTGTATAGAGCAGTAATTAGCCGTCTGCTAATTTGCGTAGAGAGCTACTTTGTTTTGATATCTTGAATCAATAGAATAATACCTTTATCATATAACGAGTGATATAGATACGTCATTATCAGTTCATTGTCGACAAGAGAATGCTTACACTTTTTGAGGTCTCATATTATAATATATGAAGTTAGTGCTCAGTCCGCGTGTGATCTACGTGCAGAGCTGATTTGTAGTAAATAGAATATTTAACGTGAACCTCTCAGCGACATTGCTGGTGAATAGAACATGAGGTCACTCATTGAATTACGAAATGATATTATTGTATAAGATATGGCTCTATATTAAATTGTTCTGATGACTTTTCTTTATGGACACTTGGATAGGTGGTAATTACTTAAATTTTTGCTCTTTGTGATCTTGTCTCGTTATCTTGTGCGCATGCTATGTAGTGTCATTCTGTGTCACACATCTTAATTTACTTTGTGACATTTTTTTGAAGACTTAGCAATCATAACCAGTGACGCAATTAGTGGTCCAAGTATACTATAAGTGAGAGTATTTCATTGTTGTCGTTTCAATATAAATAGAACGATTATCGGTTTAATACATTATATGACAATTTTTTCTAATATGAATAAAAATTTTATTCTTTAATCTCTCAGATAATATATATGAAAATAAAATGAGAGCTTTATGAAATGCTCAAGCATTGTATGATATATATTACATGAGTGGAGATTTCTTTTGAGTATTAAAATTGTAACCAAATGGTCTCTAAGTTATAGTTTACTTTCATTAGTCGATTCTCTAGGGCTGTTACATGAGAAGATCGATCAATCTCTTTTACAATAGAAATCAAATATATAGTCTAGAAGATGTTATGACTGGGACATGTTCGGGGGTCCGTGGGTCTAACAGTTACATGGAATAGACTTGACATATAAAGGTTTATAGGAGCGTGTGATTGTGTGGACTCTCTAATCAGGACTGGTCGTTAGGTATGTAGATTGTTTGAAGCTGTACTGATAGAGGTTTATCATTGGGATCTCCACATAGACTAGAACGTTGTGTCTGTCTCAAGTTATAGATAATGGTTTTTACTTATCTGGAATTCGTGGGTCATTGTAAAGCATTGTCTATATATAATGAATTTTTCATTAATATTTGAATGTGCTGCATTATAAATTAATTAACATAGTATTCCATATATAATATAATTACCCC